AAGGCTTAACGCCCTAACCCAAGTAATATGTCCAGGAGATTTCCGCGTGGCTTGGTCATTTTTTGCACCGGCGATTTGTTCTTTCTCTTTGTAAATTTCGGTAAAAACATCATATTCACTAGCCTACCATTCAAAATCCATTTGATCAATTCCGTTGCAAATTTGATTTTGTACAACTTGAGAGGGTTTTCTTTGCACATGATAAGGTTTAAAGCCCCAACCCAAAGAACATGTCCATGAGATTTCCGCATATCTAGTTCATTTTACAGCGATTTGCTTTTTCTATATATAAATTTCGGAAAAAAACCCATCAATTTTACAAGCCTACCGTTCAAAAGCCATTTGACCAATTCCAATGCAAATTCGTTTTTGTAGAACTTGAGAGGGTCTTCTTTGCACATGAAAAGGCCTAAACTCCTAATCGGAAAAATATGTTCAGGAGATTTCCGCGTGGATTGTTCTTTTTTGCACAGGCGATTTGTTCGTTCTCTATGTAAATTTCGGGAAAAACATCATATTCACGAGCCTACCATTCAAAAGCCATTTGATCAATTCCGTTGCAAATTTGATTTTGTACAACTTGAGAGGGTCTTTTTTGCACATGAAAAGGCCTTAAACCCTATCCCAAGGAACATGTCCTTGAGTTTTTCGCATGGATAGGTCATTTTCCAGCGATTTGCTTTTACTGTATATAAATTTCGGAAAAAACATCAATTTTACAAGCCTACAGTCAAAAAGCCATTTGACCAATTCCAATGCAAATTTGATTTTGTATAACTTGGGAGGGTCTTCTTTGCACATGAAAAGGCCTAAAGTCCTAACCCAAGTAATATGTCGAGGAGATTTCCGCGTGGCTTGGTCATTTTTGGGACCGGCGATTTGTTCTTTCTTTATGTAAATTTCGAGAAAAAAAAACATCATATTCACGAGCCTACCATTCAAAAAACTATTTGATCAATTCCGATGCAAATTTAATTTTGTACAACTTGAGAGGGTCTTCTTTGCACATGATAACGCTTAAAGCCCTTACCCATGGAACATGTCCATGAGATTTCCGCGTGGCTTGGTCATTTTTTTCACCGGCGATTTGTTCTTTCTCTATGTGAATTTTGGGAAAAACATCATATATATTTTTTCAAGATTATTTTATCATGTAAAAAATGAACATTCTGTAATGAAGCTATGTCATGTTTGTGCTGTAGAGAAATAGTCTGTCTGTCTGTCTGTCTGTCTGTCTGTCTGTATGTATGTATGTATGTATGTATGTATGCCTGTCTGTCTAATAATTAAGTATGTATATATGTTAAAACTGCCTTTATATTTTTTAAAGATTATTCTATCATGTTAAAATGAACATACTGTAATGAAGCTTTGTCATATTTTTGCTGTAGAGAAAAAGAGCTATCTGTCTGTCTCTTTCTGTCTGTCTGTATGCTTATATGTCTAGTAAATTAATTATGAAGATAAAAAATTCTATAAGCTTAAATAACAAATTAACCATGAAAACAAATATTTGGGAAAGACCTTATTATAACAACAAAAACGATTCTGTTTTTAACTCTCAGGCTTAAGTCTCATAATACTTGTTTTCAAATTTTAGAAAATAGATAAACATGAAGAACTTGGTATGTATTATTTACAATGGTATTTCTATCTGTAAAAAGAATGTTTGTAACAAAAGGTGCAATGTTTTATCCTAGCCTGAACACGACTGAATAGGAAAATGTAGTGTACACACGAACATCTTCCTAGATTTTTAAAAAAGATAATATGATGCTTTTGTATTGCAAATCTTATCATAATCAGTTACAAACTCATAAATTATATTTTGTTGTCACTCTGATAAGTTTACACGCAATTTTGGTTTCATAAGGAAAATATTCAAACTACAGTAACAACATTCTGTCGAAGAGGACGAATCGAATTTGGAAAACATATGTACTCATTGGACGATCTTTATATAGAAGTTTGGTTTTGCATGTGATGTCTTATTATATTTAGACTAAAGAAGACACAATATGACGATATAAACATTGTGTAGTACCTCAATTAAATTTTGTATAGACACGAAACTGATACGCTAAACAAATAATTTTGATACAATTCATTCACTAAAACGGTTTTGAGGAGATCGCTGCTCATGGATATAAAGACGAAGTTTTCGCTTTTCGTGCTGTTAATATTGATGGTCGACCTAAAAAATTGACCTGACGGAATGGAGAAGGCGATATTGTACAAGAGAATCAGGAACCAAAATGTAGCTCACGGTTTGATACTGATTACAAGGTAAAGTCACAAAATGCATTTTCGATATCTTTTTGGTATTTGTTTTTAATGACGCATTATACATCAGATACAGGTAATGTTTTAACGACTTAAGAAATGGCAAATATGAGTTCTATAACTGTTTAAGAGCAAGTGATATGCTTCTGACCTGGAGAAAAAAGGCTAAATGTAAAACTGTTTGTTATGTTCCTCATCAAAGTAGCAAAATGTAAACAAAGTGGTCTTTTGACTTCAATACAAAATATTAATCACTATATCTGTACTAATTGACAAAAATAAATAAAGTAAAAAATGGTAAAAGTTCTTGGTAAATGAGTATTTTTTGAAACTTTTAATAAGACATCATAAATTAAAAGATTTAAGAGAAATAAAGATAGACTCATTTCTTGTGTTTAAACAGAAATTCAATAATCCAAATGTTCATATCTGTGCATATTCAGTCGATTATATTTTCAGAGCATAATATTTTTCTTCCCAAAACATTTAGTTGATACTAATTTGTAACTAGAAAGTAATATGAAGAATTTTAAAATCCGTATTTTTACAGCGTCACAATTAGTTCTGGCTTCAATAACTTCATATGTCGCTTTTATTTTGACGTTGTGAGGTCTAACAGTACTATAAAACCTGTCCACTGAAGTTTTTTTAGCTACAACATAATGTATTGTTATTACATTCTTTATATTTAAATGAAATTTAGTTCAAATCTAAATGCCATGCAGCCAAGTACATAGCTTTTGAAAAGTAATTACACTTTTTCGAATGTTTCCCAAAAATTATTTCATTTGCACCTAAATTTAATCTATCAGCTGATCCAGAAACTTGTACAGTTAGAAGAAAGACAGAAAGCTCTACATGAAATAGTGGAAGGACTGAGAAAACAACTGAAAGGTATTGCTGTACAAGAGTTGTATAATTTGTTTGTATTAAAAAAGAAGAATTAATGTAAAACAATCTGGTTTTTTTAATATTTGATTATGGACATCCCTTGGCTTAAAATAATGCAAGGATGTTGGGGGCAAAAATACATATCGAAGTCATCGTCATTATAATTATATTTTTATATATACATTTTCTTTTGCATTTGGTAAAATATAGACTCACCCGTCCTCTCACAGTATTAAAATGGGTTCGCTGAAGACCGTCAGCTACATGTAGGTCCCTTAAATCACAATTACAGTATGTTAGTAAGTTTTAAAAAAGTCCACCTTAACAAAATATATGTAACGTAACAGATAAGATAAACAGGTGTACAGTTGGCAGGTATATTACTACAGTTATAGAGTGTTTCAAAGATTTTGAAATATTTTAGCCGTTACGGGAAGGTTATTAGTAACAAAGAAAAAACCTATTCATATGGCGATAGAACATGTCAAAATGATTTGCTGGTACATGAACATAATTGATTTCGTTCCTTGATTAAGGTATGACCACCTTAACAGGCAAATAGGAACTGAAAAAATGACAATATAGGTAAGATATATGCTTTAAAGGACACCTGAATGCAAAATAAGTAGAGTTATAACGTAAGCTTTCATGTTAGTATGGCCCTTCACAGAGATGATGTGTCTTTAAATAATCTACAATATCATCTTTATGAAAAATGCTTTCCCATTAAAATTTTAGAAACAATATATAACATTCGGCTAACAATCCACACATGCAAAATGATTGTTCCTGCTCAAAATTAATAACATATTTATAAAAATGATTTCCTATCTGCTTGATTATGTAAACTATTAAATATTTTTACCCTGTAGTTTTTATTAGACTTTACCATATCTATTATAAGATTTAACATACATTCATTCTTTGCTACATAGATTTTGAGAAAATGTGTCATCAAGTGACCTGAATTATGACCGAGGACCCCAGAGAAATACACTTTTTTTGCGCAACTCACTCTCTCTTCATTTTATCAAAGGAGTTTGACTTAATTTTCACAGAAGCTTTTATAGAACGCCTTTAATATCGAGTGCCAAGCGTGCATATTGTCGGTGTTTGGCCATTCAAAAACTTTGGCTGAATAATTGCTCTTTGTTTCATAGAAAAAACTGATGAAAACTTATGTACATGTACACTTCTATTCTTAATCCCTACTTTATTCCTCAAACGATTTGACTCAACTTTCACAGATTGTTCTTGCACATATTGTCTGAGTTTTTGAAATTCAAACATTTTTGCCGGAATTATGGCCCTTGTTTTTTACCAATATTATATATAGATAATTACACTTCTATGTGCAAGTTTTCATTGATTTTAGAAACTACGTAAGCTTTTATATTACATTGTACATTGAAATTTTGTACCTATCTTTATTATACATCAAAATTATAACATCATTGTACAAAGTCCAATGAACCCATAATATACTACTATAATGTTATGAACAGATTAGTAGATCTATTGTGGATAAAATTTTTTTGTTTCTAAGTTTGTTGTTAGTAATAATATGCATGCGTCTATTTAGTTAAAGTTAGATATTCAAATCTATAGAAACATGAAATATATGAATCAATACTTATCTATATATTATATATGTAAACACTGAAAATGCCATGATTTCCAACAAATGTCCAAATTGCGAAATGCTGAAAATTATGCACCAGGGCACATGAGGATGAAACTTTTTTGAAACATGAACGTTAAAATCTTGGGTTCGCCGTATTGATTGGTTTCATTCTTTTTTATAATTTGTTTTTATAACTCTTTAGGCTGTATAAAAAGTTATGGAGCAGACGACAACTTTGGCGTGACGTATGACTTTGCAGATCAAATTGCCGTATCTACATGTACGGCTCTTCTGTCAATGGAAAGTCATGTTTATGCAGTCAGACGAAATTGCTCGAAACTTGCAGCATCGTGCGAAGATACATGCAAGCTCGTCGGGTATTTATCTTATAAACTTTTTATAACTAGTATTCTCATTTGAACTTTTAGAATCATCGGCTTTCAGTCTTCTGTTTGTTTTTCTAATATGAAACTATACGGCACATTTGCCAAAACATACGATTTTGCTAGAAATTTTTCAAATCTTGATAAAGGGTTACACCGGCAACGCCCGAAAAGGTTAATTTAAAGAGATGCTTATTCAAGTTGAATACTTTGCCATATTAAAGAGTTACTTCTAAGTCATGACTGGACAGAAGTAAGAATGTACCTCTTCCAAGATTTTGGGAACGGGGAAGGAAAAAAGTGCAAATCGATATGAAGCATTACTTTTGAAATATAAAAAGTAGCGCAATAAAAAGGAGAATCGTGTTTATCAAATAATCATTTTTAGACTCACATCTCGAGGAAAACCGGTCGATTTTCTCAGGAAATAAACATGCCATTTATCCAAAACCTGTTTAATTGTTATACATATTTGTTATCATAAAATAATGGCATTCCAAAAGGGCAGATAAATCCTAAAATCATTTTTGCAAAGTTATGACTCTTTGTCCTTGTTAATCATTTTGTTACGGTTTCCCAGAAACTATGCAAGTTATTCACATCAAACTATGACACCGTTTCAGATGGGCAAATAATCATGAAATTAATTTTTGTTGTTGCAAAGTTGATTAAGCTTTTTTTTAAACTCTTTATTTGCAATGGTCATTTATAGTAAGAGAGTCAAAGTTATTCCCTTCTGACAGGTTATCTTACAATTTATGTTTGCTAAGTTTCCGTTCACCTTTCTGAAAAGGTATATTTCTTAAAAAACTTTCAGATATCCACTTTATCTTAGAATATGTGTACACTAAACTTCTACAGGGCAAACTATAATACATGTATCCTATTTATTTTATTGACTATCAAGGGCAGGAAAGTCTGCCAAACAAGTTTGCAGAACTATCCCTCTTTTCCGTGTTGCTGCACTAAGAAAAGTGGAACGCTCTGTCTTCGGTCTTTATTTGACGGCTAGTAGATATGCATTCGTCCATTCAGCAATGGAAAATTATAGTCTTGCTGCTCCGCGCCGAAAAGCGGAGCTATTTGTGTTTATTTGTTTTTTTGTCCATGGGCCCGATTTTTATCAATTAATCAGGCCAAAACAAAATGATCTAACATGCTGATAAGTAATAGGGTAGGTAGGTCGGAAAAACATTTCATTCTTTTTTAATTAGTATTTTATAAACATTTAACTGTATGTCAGATATATACACTATAGGATACTCTATGTTTGCAATAAAATGTTCTAGGTTAGGTGCGGAAATACAGGGTCGGTCAGGCTACTGGAACCACAAGATCATTTTGTTTTGGCCTAATCTGGCGTGAATGAGTCTCGTGAGAATTGTCATTTTTTTGTTTTGTTTTTGTTTTTAAACATAACGAATAAACAATCATCAGTATATAATGAAGTTATAATAATTATGAAAAAAGTACGTGATGAAATAATTTTGTATAAAGATGATTTTGTATAAAGAACACATTGAAATATTTGAAATATTCTAAAATTCATTTTTTGGTCAAGTTATGCCTATTTTTGCCAGGGTCATATTTTTTTTTTGAAAGACTGTCAAAGTTAATCACTTCAAACTGAAAACACTTTTTCAGTTTTGAATTTCAGATGCATTTCTCAAAGGCAGTTTGCCTTGCAGTTTATTTTCTCATTTATGACCCCTTTTTATTTCTCAAAAGCTATCATATATATTCACTGTAATTTGAAATACTTGTACACTATCAAATTTAAAATGCATTTACAGAAATGCAGGTAATCTTGAAAACCCCTTTTTGATTAATCATTTCCATTAATCGATTGGAAATATTTGCCTTTCTTAAAAAAAACTTGAAGGTATTCATTCAAGTATTTGTTGACTATTAAGATCAAGTCAGCCGGTCAAGCACATTTACAGAATTATGTTGCTTTTGTAAATTATCAAGTACCGAGAAAAATGAAGGTCGCTGTCAGTTTTCTTTAATAAAATGACAGCGCTTCGATATTTCTTTTTACCAGTGCCGTAATACCTCGTGTTTTCTTCTTTTATAGGAAAAAGTGTTTCAGTGCATTACAGATACCAGGAAACCCTCGCATTTTGCCAAGGGGCACGAATGGAGCGCTTGGGTTACAAATGTACAAATACGACCTATACCACGGCTGTTCGAGGGGGAGTTACTGTGGACCAAATTTTTGCTGCTGTCAAGATTAACTCATGATTTTTTATGATAACAATATGTTGAACTAGCTTGATTTGCAGGTGCATGTAGTTCAAAATAAATTTGCTTCCAAGAAGCTTAAAATAATTATCGATTCTTATCCAAATCGCATCAAATAATTAGGCGCATCAAATTTTGCATATGATAAAAAATAAGACGTTGGCGCAGATATGCTAATAAAAGATTTGTGCAAACCATCTAAAGTGCCAACGTTAAAACTCCGTGATGCCAGTTCGCGATTATTAGACACATATCGCTGTTTTCATTTGATAAACATTGTAATTTGTCCATCACATGTCTAAGAGATGAATGCAGTACTATAATGTTTTAGTTTATCCCCTGTGCAACCTTTCTAAGAGATGACACGCAGTACTATAATGTTTTAGTGTATCCCCTGTGCCACCTTTCAAAGAGATGACACGTTTAACTGAACTCCTGTGCCACCTTTCAAGGAGATGACAGACAGTACTTTAACGTTTTAACTGAACCCCTTTGCAAACTTTCAATCTTTAGCTGAACAAGCCAATTCCCTCAATCTACTAAGTCACATTAAACAAATAAAAACACAACTCAGTCTAACTGTCAATTTCAAAATGTAATTTGTAACTGAAGTACTTGGGTAACCGATTAACAATGGATAACGGATAATGGATAACAATGGATACAATATTTTATCAAATTTTATATCACACAAAAATATTTAAAACACTTTGACGCCATTTTACAAATTTACAAATGCATATCTGTTCACACTCTACCTATGAATGAAACATATTTTATTCATAATTATCTACCTTCTATTTTTGAAAAAGAAATAAAAAATTTAACGATGTTAACCGGCTGAATGATCTTACACAGACCGAAATACTGCACGATAATATCGTGCACTCATGTGTCACGCTTGTCTTAATATCCTGACGGTGACTACGTTACCTGAAGGGAAAATAATTTCCTTCTAATTCGTTCCTCAAACGAAAGAAACTATATTTCGTTGAATTTATATCCCCCGGTGAGCACCATGGATTTGGAGCAAGTTAAATGTTAAATACATGTACCAGTAACTAAAAAAGTAGAGCTGAATGTGCAATTATTTATCGTAAAGATAGCAAAATGTATGCAAAGTAATATTTTGACTTCCATACAAAATATCAAATCACTAGCATTATACCACTTGCCAATCGGATTCTTTAACAAGATACCAAGAATAAAAAGGGTAGCATTTTTGGGGATTAATGGGCCTTTAACTTTAATTGTTTGTCTAAAAAAGTTTCACAAATTAAACATGCATGTTAACTTATTGATATGTTGTTGGGTTTTTCCGTTATTAAGGATGGGAAAATTTTATTCATTGCATGTGAAAAAACGTAAATATTTTTTAGAGCATCTGAGGTTGTGATAATAATAATAATAAACGTAATAATAATAATAATAATAATAATAAATAATGATGATTAGGATGATTAGGATGATGATGATGATGATAAATGATAATAATAAACGTAATAGTAATATACAACCACCAACAACAACAATAATAATAATAACAACAACGTAATAATGATAACAACAATAATAGTATTTTCTGTTTGCAAGTTTCACGATTGTAGATTTGTTTAGAAATTGATTTTGTTCAGTGAGTTGTGACATGATGTATTTTAACTTGAATAAAGTATTTACAGATGTTTTCAAAACTATAACAATGCTCTCGCCATGATTTGCAGTAGCTTATGAGGACCAAACCAATGTTAGTGTTTCCATCATTATAAATCTGCTAACTGCAAAAGATGTAAATATTACGAAAGGAAAATTCCTCTCACACCCCATGACTTTATAATGCATAGATCTCTATAATTATTTTGAATAGAGATCAAACAACGAGACAGTTTGCATAATTTCTATTAAAATATAATTTTTTTTAGAGCAGTGCACAGTATAATCCAATCGGAAAAAAACCCCGTAAAATGTAACAGAATGCAAAGTTTACATGATCAGCGCTGTGGGATCGAATCCCGTTAGGTACTTATGGTTCTTTTATAAGAGGAAACTATACACGCATCTGAAGGAAAGTTGGTGTTTAGCTAGTTCCTATTCTATATCTACTTCTTGAAAATATTTATTTTCGAAATACTAAACGTGAAAACAAAAAAGAAAGAATGTACTTTAAATTCGTCGTTGGTTAATTGATTGGCCATTACATTGGCAGACACTTTTAACTCAACACTTTTTAAACTGATTTTCACATAAACTTACTTACAAATGTTAGTAAAAACACCATATTCAAGACCCAACCGTTTAAACACCATTTGTCTGAATGCGTTTCAAATTCGTTTTTGTACAACTATGGAGCGTCTCCTTTGCACAAATTGAGGACCAAAGCCTATGTTTGGGCCATTCCCGCATAGCTTGGTCGTTTTGGGACCGTCAATTTGCTGTTTTCGATATAATCGTAGATCAACTGATAATTTGCAAAGTCAAATCAAGGAGACAAAACACTCCTGAAATTGTTTTACATTATTTTGATCGATCACAACTTGATAAAAATGTTATATAGTGTTGTTACACAGAACGCGCTTAAGAGCACATTCATACAGGAATTGACGTCATGCACAGCTAGCCTTTGTAAAGTAAACGCTACGTACTGAAAAAAGTGGCACGATCAAGTAGATTAGGATGGCTTAGAGAATATTCTTCCCAGCATTATAAAGCTCTTGATAGCAAGAGGCCCGCATAAAATGTTCGTTTTTTTGGACACCGAAGATTAGTTCCGTAAGTACATGAAGTCAAAGAAATTTCTTTAAAAAAACATCATATTCTACAGTCTACCGTTTAAACGCTATTTTTCTGATTCCGTTGCAAATTCGTTTTTGTACAGCCTTAAAATGTCTCCTTTGCACAAAATTAGAACCAAAGCCCTAACCCAAACAATATGTCCGGGATATTTCCGCGTGGCATGGTCATATGTAGGACCGGCGATTTGTTCTTTCTGTGTAGAAAAGGGCATAAAAACACCATATTGCATAGAGCCAACCGTTAAGACACCATTTGTCTGATTCCGTGGCAAATTCGATTTTGTACAACTTAATAGGGTCTTCTTGTCCCAAAAAGAGGAGCATAGTCCTAACCCCCAAAAAAGGTTCGGGAGATTTTCGCGTGGATGGTCATTTTTGAAGCGGCGATTTTTTCTTTCTGTATATAAAGTCAATAAAAACAACATATTATAGAGCCAACCATTTAAAAAAAAAAACATTTATCTGATTCCGTTGCAGATTTGTTTTGTACGACTTTAGAGGGCATCCTTTGAACAAAAAAAAGGGACAAAGCCCTAACGCAAAACAATATGTTCGTGGCATAGTCATATGTAGGACCGGCTATTTGTTCTTTCTGTATATGAAGGAAGTGCATAAAAACACCATATTTAGAGCCAACCGTTCGAAAACCATTTGTCTGATTCCGTTGCAGATTCGTTTTGCACAACTTTGGAGGATCTTCTTTAAACAAAATGAAAAACCAAAGCGCTTTACTCAAACAATATGTCTGAAAGATTTCCGCGTGGGAACTTTTGAACCGGCGATTGGTTCTTTCTGTATATAAAGTCAATAAAAAACAACATATTCAATAGCCAACCGTTTAAAAACCATTTGTCTGTTCCGTTGCAGATTCGTTTTTGTACGACTTTAGAGGGCCTTCTTTGCACAAAAAAGGACCAAAGCACTAACCCAAACAATATGTCTGGGATATTTCCACGTGGCATGGTCATATGTAGGACCGGCGATTTGTTCTTTCTGTATATAAAGTGCATAAAAACACCATATTTTAGAGCCAACCGTTTGAAAACCATTTGTCTTATTCCGTTGCAGATTCGTTTTGCACAACTTTTGAGGATCTTCTTTGCACAAAATGAAACCAAAGCGCTTACTCAAACAACATTTCCGGTAGATTTCCGTATGACATGGCCATTTTTCGACCGGCGATTTGTTTTTCCTCTATATAAAGTGCATAAAATTTAATAGAGGTACTAGGCAGACGTTCAAAAAAGCCTTGATAATGCAAAATGATACTTACCTAACTTTTCTCACGGCCAATTATTTGGACTTATAACTCAGTTGCTGATTTACAATAGCATATCCTGTAATGTGCCTGAGCGTTCTAGGCTGCAGTCCACATATTGAAAGAACAAGGAAGGTTATATAGTAATTTTAGACATTAATTCTGGACATAATATAAAGTTGTCATTAGATAAATAATTTGTCTTAACATTTTTGACCTAAAATAACTTAATTTAATTAACTGTTGCTTTAAAAAATGTTTTCATTAACTTCGATATAGTTATTCATGATAGTTCAAGTAAACTGTTGTAATTAGTCCATCCGTTTCAATCATCATCACAGGTCAAGCTCATATCCTAGTCAAGTCTCTGTTGGTGGCGGCGGGTTCCCTTTTGGCGGTTTTTACCCCCCAGTTTGGTTATTCCGATACAAATATGTACATGCCATGTTTGTTATTTACATGCCATGTTTGTTATTATATAACATTTGTCATTTATGGCATTCAAAATACCAATTTGTCCACTGCAAAAAACAATAACATGAAACTATTTCAATACTATATACATGTACATGTAGATAGAATAACAAAAGACAAAAACTATTACATCTAGGAGGAGTAGAATAACAAGCTATTTTCCAAACAACAATACGTCAAGACAACTCATACAGCCAAACAGTCAGAGATTTTACACACTACTTCAATCCAAAGAAAAATATATCATATGAAAGACATCGATTAAGGCAGAAGGAATCTGATGAAACTGTAGTCAATAACATTGTGAAACCAAAAAAAAGGCTCAATATCATGTAATTTTCCAGACGATACTGCAGAAGATATGATACTAAGTTATCGAACACTGTACCTCAAAGCAGTTATAGGTCAGATCTCTCCGCGAACAAGATCTAACATTGGAATAAAAGTTCAACATATTGCCCACACAACCGAACATGCAAACATACATGTCAACGAAATACAAGTCGACAAGAAATCAACACACATTATTACATTCTGCTAACCATAATGACGTAAGCTATATTCAA